CGCCGCCGCCGCGAGGGCCGGGCCGGGCCGGCAGTGACTCAGGCGGGGTGGGGGAGGCGCGGGGCTGAGGGGTCCCGGCCTGAGGGAGGGAGCGAGGGCCGGGCGCGGCTGGGCTGTCCGCAGGGTGGGGACAGGTTCGGGCTCCGCACGGAAAGGGCACTGAGGGGCTGCAGAAGGAACAGAGCTGGGGGAGGGTCTGGAGCACCGATGTGAGGGAGCTGGAGGGCTCAGCATGGAGAAAAGGGGGTCAGGAGGGACCTTCTCGCTCTCTACAACTCCGTAACAGGAGGGTAGAGCCAGGGTCTGCTCCGAGGTAGAGAATGACAGGATAAGAGGTCACGGCCTTAAGCTGCACCAAAAGAGGCTTAGGTGGGATATTTGGAAGATTCCTCCTGGAAAGGGCTGTCCAGCCCTGGCACAGCTGCCCAGTCCCCATCCCTGAGGAGACTGAACAGTGATGCAAATGTGGCACCTGGGGACATGGGCTAGTGCTGGTCCTGGGAGTGCTGGGGGAGCAGTTGGACTCTGTGATCATTGAATCATGGAACGGTTTGGGTTGAAGGGACCTTGCACCTCATCCAGTTCCACCTCCCTGCCATGGACACCTTCCACTGTCCCAGGTTGCTCCAGGCCCTGTCCAGCCTGGCCTTGGACACTGCCAGGGACGGGGCAGCCACAGCTCCTCTGGGCTCCCTGTGCCAGGGCCTCCCCACCCTCACAGGGAAGGATTTCTTCCCAACATCCCACCTAAACTCACCTCTGGCAGTGGGAAGCCATTCCCCTCTGTCCTGTCACTCCAGGCCCTTGTCTGAAGTCCAGATCTCTTGGAGCCCCTTCAGACACTGGGATCGAGGTAACGATTCATCAACTGACTGACTTCTCTTCTGTGAACAGAACACTTCTTCTCTCTGATGGAATGTAGTGTTGTCTTTGTTTACATCTTTGATATAATCCCTCTTCTGTCATCAGGAAACTGCAAAGGATCTGTTTTGAGGCCCCAGAAATGACGGCATTGCTGGTAGTGTTGTGGTTATGATATGGCTGTTTAAGGCAGGACCTATCAGACTGAACACTGGTGGCTGTATCAGCACCAGCCATCCTGCAGACCTTGGAACGGTGCCACTATGTACGTGGGGGCAATTCAGACCTTCGGCCAAAAAGATGAACTGCAGCTGAACCCCACTGGATACAAGGAAGCTACACCATCTATCTGGTATCTCAGATATAAACTCAGATTGGATAAGCAGTGCCCCTGGTTGGAAGCTGTGATTCATAATGAGCTGAACCAATCCTGACTGTAAGGAAAGCCAGTTTCAATATGAGTTTGGAGCTTTTCCCTGTATGACACTGAAATATGAATTGGTGAAACCCCTCAGAAAGTCAAGTTTAAACTCTTTCATTAGTTTTTCTACAAGGTTTCAGTGTGTGGCTTTACAAACCTTTTATCCTTAAATAATGTTGATTTGTAGTAAGAGTCTGGAATGACCTATAAAGGAACTTAACATCTTTGTGAACTTAGGCTTTTAGATTCTATCAGCCAGCAAGGGACCTAAGTTATTCCAAGATGTTATTACATGAGGAAAATCCCAGTGAAAACACACTGGCCTTCCCCAAGCTTGTGGTCAGATCTACCCTCTGCACCTGCACTTTTGTTTCAGCCTTTATCTCATACCAGTTTAATCTACTTCATTAAGTCTCATAACCAGTATTTGAATAAAGTACTTCTCAGTAATGTAAATACAATTATTACCTTTCAGTCGTCTCACTATTAAGAACAGAAAACATTTAAAACCTTTCCTTTTCTCTTTTTCCCACCACTTAAATGGTATTGGTAGACCTTTTCTGTTCCAGCTTTTCAGAACTGGCTTTCAAATCTGAATATCAAACAGGATGCTTTTACTTTTGGTTTCACTACTGTATACACAAATACATCACCAACATTTTATTGGAGTAGATTTGACTTCTCCTGAGCCAATTTCTTTTGTACTCCAGAGTGAATATTACCTGGAATTGCTGATTTTAAAGCTATTCCTAATGGAATAAAATGGCCTGCATCCTTCCACTTGGGAATTAATAATAAAGTTTTGCTGCTTTTCTATTCTGAATGTTGGTTGTATTTATTTTCTTGTATAATTTCCAATGTACTATTGGTTATTTTAGAAAATCTTCTTTCACTGTAAATGCAATGTACGTAAGTGGTGTTTGGTTTTCATGAATTACAATGTGTTTGCATTGTTACACCGGATTAGTGCAGTAATCCAAACTGGGTAATTACTGTTTGTCACCAGTGTCTCACCAGGCTCCCTCTGCCAATGGCCTTCTAACAAAGGACACTCATGTCCCAGATTGATGATGTCTGGATTAACGACATGGGGTAAAACAAAGCGTGTGGAATGACGTGAGACCTAATTTCAGACTGCGGTAGCTGCTTCCACCAGGACTGCAGCTCTCAGAGCCAGCAGAGCACGGCAGGGAGCACCCTGAGCAGGAGGGAGAACACCCTGAGCAGCTAAGAAAATGCCCTTAGCAGCTGGGAGAACACCCTGAGCAGCAGAGATAGCACCCTAAGGAGGTGGGAGACACCCTGAGCAGGGGGCAGCAGCTGGGAGAGCTCTGCTGCACTGCTCTCCCCAGGAATCAACACAACCCATGTGTGCCAGACAGGACCTGCTGGGGTAGTGCTCCAGCCCTCAGTCTTGGCAACAGCATGAACAGGAGCACTGCAAGGGGTCTCAGCACTTATTAAGAGAGGATTGCACAGGTTTGTGTCCTCAAGTACCACAGAATTCAGAACGTGTGGGGATATGGCACTCCAGCACATGGTTTAGTGGTGAACATGGTGGTGCTGGGCTGGTGCTTGGTCATAGTGCTCTTACAGGTCTATTGTGACCATAATGATTCTGTGATTCCATGATTTTAAAATTGAAATCATGGAAATTTGACCTTATTGGAGCTTGGCTTCTGGCAAGTTTAGATGGGATACTAGGAGGAAGTTCTGCCCTGTGAGGGTGGGCAGGCCCTGGCACAGGGTGCCCAGAGAAGCTGTGGCTGTCCCTGGATCCCTGGCAGTGCCCAAGGCCAGGCTATGGATAGGGGTGGAGCAGCCTGGGACAGTGGAAGGTGTCCCTGCCATGGCAGGGGGTGGGATGAGATGGGCTTTGAGGTCCCTTCCCACCCAAAACATCCCATGATTCTGTGATTACCACTCAGCCCCTGGCTCCATCCACCAGTGAGACAGTGGCCCGCTGTGATCACTGACAGAATGTGAGGAACAGACACATTACCTGCCCCAAAGGCACCACAAGCACAGACAAGGTAATCTGGAGAGCAGGAACTCATTCCAGAGCCGCTTCTCTAGCAGTGCAGATCCATGGCCTCTTTGATAATGGAGAAGGTGGTGAATCTTCCCCTTGACTCCACATGGGTGACTCATCCCAGCTGCCCCTCTGGGTTTGATCTGCTCAGGCTCTGCATGTGTACATATCAGATTATCTGGGTTAAGTGCAGTTTTGCTTTTGCCCTTTATCTGTCTGCTCTGAAGCTGTTTAACATGATCTGTCTGTTTTTATGCCAGCTCAGTTTCAGCAGTCCCAGGTACTGACTGGCACTGAGCTGGTTTTTTCTGCAGTGACCGCAGGCTTGGTCACTCATCTCACATGTCCCTAATGCAATTCCCACCCCTGCTGTGCTGACAGAATTTGAAAAGTCTCTTCAGTGGTTCCACAAGTCATCCCTCTCTAGTTCTTCACAGTGACTTTTTTGATGTGGAGAAATCCCACATTATTCTAACAAGCAGATCCAACATCTGCATGGAACTCTGGGAGTGAAAACAGGAATGTGGTCTTGCAGTTTCACTGTTAGAAGTTGTTTGCTTTTTTAAAAAAAACTGCCTCCAATTAAAGAAGATGATGGGGAATAATCTGGGAAGAATCAGTGTTGCATTTATACAACAGGAAGTCCCAGGTGTTTGGGTACCAGGGCAGGAAGTTGTTGTGAGGGTTTGCTGTTCTGTTCTTTGCCAGTGCTCAGCTCTGATGCCTGTCCTTTTCTTCTGGGGATCATCCAGGAAGAGTTCTTGACCTAAGGACAGCCCCTGGGATCAGGTCACCTGGCCTTAACCACAACCTGCCTGGAGGGTCCCTCATGCAGACAGGGGGATTCAGAACATCAAGTATGACCTGAGTAAGAGAAAAACCAGACCTACGTGGCTGGATCAGTCCCCACTCCCCCTCAGAAACAAAGATATCCAGAGCCAGAGCTCACCCTCTATCTTCAGTGGTCACAGGAGACACATTTTAATTCCTAGTCCAGACTGGTCGCAGCCTGAACCTTCCGAGGGGACGAGGTGCAGACACCGATCTCTGTGCTCACCAGGGACAGGACCCGAGGGAATGGCTATGTTGGGTCAGGGGAGGGTTAGGTTGGATTCTAGAAAAAGAAGTCACCCAGAGGGTGACTGAGCACTGGGAGGGGCTGCCCAGAGCAGCAGTCACAGCACCCAGAGGTGTTTGGAGAGCACTCCTGGGACATGGTGGGACCCTGGGGATGGCCCTGGGCAGGGCCAGGGGCTGGGCTCGATGGTGCCTTTTGGCTCCCTTCAGCTCAGCCTCCTGTGTCTCCGTCATTGACTCACACTGCTGCCGCAGCGGGCACAAACAGCTCGGCAGTGGGCACCGCGTCTGCTCTGCCCTCCCTGAGGAGAACAACCTCACGGCACAGCGGCTCCTGATCAGATGTTGGTTTAAGGTTTTTAAATAAACGCGGATTCACCACAACTGCGGGTCGATGTTTTCTGCAGGCAGAGAACTGCACCTTTTCACAGGCGGTGAGCAGCACGGGCCCTGAGCTGCTCCCGGAGCCGTTTCACTGCCCCGCTCCAGCATACTCTGCCCGGCTCCGCTCGGCCTGGGCCCGGCAGCGCCGCCGCGGCACGAGCGCGTCAGCGGGGAGCGTCAGCGAGGAGTGTCAGCGCGCAGCGTCACGTGATGGCGTCATCGGGAGCGTCAGAGCGCAGCGTCACGTGACGGCGTCACCGGGCAGCGCCGCCGCCGCTGCTCTGGGTCCCGGTCCGGCCAATCCCCGCCGGTGCCGCCGCTGCTCTGGATCCCGGTCCGGCCAATCCCCGCTAGTGCCGCTGCTCTGTGCCCCTCTGCCGGCCCGGCTCGGCGGCAGATACGCGGCCGCCGTTGTTGGGCACAAGCGCCCCGTGTCGCCGGTCCCTCTGTGCCCTCCGGGGGCTGCGGCTCAGCCACCGGCACGGCGGGCGCACACGGGGGCGGGATGCACCGGGACAGGAGGAGCCGAGCAGGGAGGTGGCCGTGCCCAGGGCCCGGAGGTGGCAGCGGGGGCTGTGACGTGGGAGGTCCCGCAGGGCTGCGGCTCTGGGCTCTTCTGGTGCTGCATCGCTGATGGTGACTGAAAGCACAGAACCATCAAGAACTCCGCGCAGCAGGACCGAAGTGGCACTGAAGTGCGACCACAGCCCCATCTCCGGCAGCTGTTGGTCTCCAGAAGCAGCTGGAGGCCAGTGGGCAAGGCTGGAGATCAGCATTTCCCAGGCTCCGGTTATCCCGGGTGTTCACGCGCCAGAGCTGACAAACAGGTGAATTTGTTGGGGTTTGCAGCTTCCAGGACAGCCCCTCCTGTCCGTGGGCAGACAGGAGCAGAATCCCACAGTTATTCCAGACACCTGTTTGCTGTTCTGTATGCAGCGAAATGCAGGGAAGGGCCAACAAAGCCATCCCTTAGCTCACAGACCAACAGCAGACAGCACTGATTCCTGGAACCAAGAGAATTTGCATTGGCAGGATTAGAGGGGTAGGCAGTGCAGGTTCACAGCTGGAGTTGTGTCCAGATGTGACATTTCCTGCCCTCCATTTCCCAGAGCCCAGCTGTGAATTGCTGCTGCTGCTCAAGGCCGTCAGCTGCAAGAGTTTCTTGCAAACCTTGCAGCCCAGCCACCTGTGCTCTGCTTTTTGCCTGTGCCACCTTGAAGATCATTCTCCCTATATATTTAACTGGGTTATTTCTGTTCCTCTTTATATAAAAATAATAGAATCATAGCATGGCTGGGCTTGGAAGGGGTCTTAAAAGACCATATAGTTCCAAACCTATATGAATAATGCCCAAGTAAATATCCCTAAATAAACAATTCCCATTGATGATGTTTCTATGTTTCCTTTCGTCTGAAGGGTTAAACTACTTCCCATTACCTATTCAGGGTTCAGTTGTGGGGGACAAATTAAACACACAAAGAGAGGAACCTGGCAGTAAAACTGGCCCATCAAACAGCACAGGGCCGAGGACAGAGCCTGTGTGATGCTGTTCAGTCCTGAACCCTCCCCGACCAAGGGCCAAGCTGCTCCTCAGGTGCCACGGCCACAGCCAAGGCCCCTGTTCAGCTGTACCTGTCACACAGGTGGAGCAATAAGGCTGAGGTCTGGCCTCAGGAAAAGGAAATCCACCCTCTTCTGAGACTGCTGCTCCTTCCCTGGGGGTGGCACAGCATGGTATCCATCCTCTGAACCAGACTCAGGAAAACCTGACTGAGCTACAGGAAATAGGGCTGGTTTTTACCAATCAAATTACTTTAAAAAGCTTTAATAATATAAATGAAATAGCGTTGAAGCTTTTTTTTTTTTTTTTAAAAAAAACAAAAAAAAAAAAAGCCAAGAGACTGAAGATCTTGCTGGTATCACTGTGTTTCATATTGGGTATCCATCCTCTGAACCAGACTCAGGAAAACCTGACTGAGCTACAGGAAATAGGGCTGGTTTTTACCAATCAAATTACTTTAAAAAGCTTTAATAATATAAATGAAATAGCGTTGAAGCTTTTTTTTTTTTTTTTTAAACACAGCCAAATAAAGAAAGCCAAGAGACTGAAGATCTTGCTGGTATCACTGTGTTTCATATTGGGTTTTTCTTCCCATCCCTGACTACGGATATTCTCAGCTGGCAGTAATTGGGGTGTGCATTAATTCGTGCTCCCAAAAGCAGGAACACCAGGAGCATCTTTGCTGGATCATGCAGTGAATAACAACCACCAGCAAAGCGTTGATACTGAAACTGCCGACTTGACACAGGGCAAACCACTGTGACTAAAGGCTCTAAAACGTAAAGTAAACTTTATTATCCTTGAACCACAAAATAGATTTCTTTGGTTGTACAAATTTCACTAGTTACAGTCTTGATGCGCTAATTTTCCCTCAGAGTCTCTTGGGAGAGAACAGGAGAGAATCCAGAGCCTGGCACCAGGTACCGCACAGGGAAAGGAGAGAAGAATCACAAGTTAGTCACCAAAACCCAGCCAGGATTGTTTCCAAAACTGCTTTTGTTAAAAAGCAAATGCTAAAATCAGATTTAAAAAGGAAAAGCTCAAATTGCTGATGATGGAGGCAGCTGCAGCTGCAGCATGAGATTATCAGAGTTCCCCTTCACAAGTCTGTAAAATTGAAACATAGTCAGTTAAAATGATCCGCTGGATTTTGGCATGAAAGGAGAGGCTCAACTAAGAAACTGCACCCAAAAAACTGCATCCAACTCTTTCCTTCAGCAAATGTACAAGCAGATGTGCCTGTCAGTGCCCAGCCACTGTGAGGCTTAAGGTCCAACCCTGATCTTACTGGGAAGTCAGAGAGCACCAATGAACAGGGAATGGGACTGTGTCGAGCTCGGACCTTCCTCACGGTGAGAGGCAGTGATAAAAAAAAACAAAAAGAAAAGGGTTGTTTCCCCTCACTAGTGGCAGCAGAGGCTGATGGCAGAGTTGGGAGCAGCAGCTGTGACTTCCACATCTGCAGAGCTCACAATTCAGAACCTGCTCACAGCCCTTGTTCCACATGTGGAAACCAAGGCTCACACCCCCACTCGATATTTATCATTTTCCTTTTTCCCTCTTGTGTGGGCAAACATGCATTTTCCCTGTCCTCCACGGGAAGGGGCCTGAAGCCAATGAGCTGGCAAAGTGGAACTGTGTGGTTATTGCAAGGCACAGGCCAGCCCCATCCTGCTCCTGGTGCTCCCTGCCAGCCCACACCACACCAGGCACCCCGTGACATCCCACTCAACCCTACAGCCAGCATGGACACTGTGGACTCCCCACCAGCACCTCCATGTGTAGGATCCTCTAACTCCCAATGTGACCCCATCAACTCCACATTCTACCCATCCCCAGTTCCTGAACTCTACCCACTAAGGTACCTACTGTCACACCTCCCACCTCTGCCACCATGTCCTGCTCCTACTGCTGTCACACACCCCTGACACCCCTGCTCTGGCTGTCAGCTCTGTCCCAGTCCTGCCCCAGCTGACCAGTTCAGCCCCAGTGCCACAGAAGACTCCTCCACTTGTGTGCTCTGGAGTGGCTCCTGCCGTGGTGACAAAGGGGGATGTGCCCATCCAGGGTGGGAGCTGTCCCAGGACAGAACAAAGCCCCAGCAGGAGCAGTGTCCCATCAGGACAAAGGCAGATGGCAGAGACCTGGCTCTGTTTTCCTTGAACACAGAGTACCAGTGGCAGAGGGAGGCACTTTGCTGGAATTCTGGTGGGTTTTTTCCTTTTTTTTTTTTTCCCCCCTTCTTTTTGCCTCCAAGCTTCCCATTCCCAAACACTCCCAAGGGGAAGTGAGGTGACAGTGCAGGAGGTGGGAGAGGATGCTTTTTGGCAAAAGACTGGAAATTAAATAGGAGTAAAGGCAGGCTGGACCTTCCTCCCGATTCCCAACAGAGGAGAAGCTCCTTTTAACTACAAAACTCAAGTTGAGGCAGTAACAGCTGGAGCCCAGTACACTCTCACACTCCTACATTCTCCCTGTCCTACTCTTCCCCACACACAATATTTACAGGCTAAAAAGCTGCCCACTGTCCTGGCCACCCTTCCTCTCCATCTGCCAGCAGTCAGTCCAGTGTTGTCCCAGTTTTGGGATGTGCCCCAGTGCGCTGTTGAGTGAGGAACGAGGGTGGTTCACAGCCCCAGAGGAGTCAGTTGGCCACAGGGCTCATGGGGAGCTCGGTCCCAGCCAGAGTCTGTAGGCAGGGGGGCAGCCTGCTGCTGTCCCCAGAGCTCCCGAAGGGCTGTGCCAGGCCAGTCCATTGCCCAGGTGTGGCGGGTCACCTATGTGGGGACAGCGGTCTCCAGGCTTCGCCGGCTGTGCCGGAGCTTCCGCTTGCTGCTGTACAGGGCCATGTCCTCCAGGGCTGAGGGAGCTGCTGCTGATGGATCCCCTGTTCCCAGTGTGTCCTCCTCTGGCTGCCCGTCCTGCTCCCGGTGAACTGCAACGACAAGAGGTGCTGGATCTGAAGACAAAGCCCTGGGTTAAGTCAGGGAAGACCCTGAGAAGAAATCCTTCCCTGTGAAGGATGAGGCACAGGCTGCCCAGAGGAGCTGTGGCTTGCAGCAACCCGGCCGGATGGAAGGTGTTCCTGCTCAGGGCATGGGTGGGACTGGGTGGTCTGAAAAGACCCTTCCCAACCCAACCATGCCGTGATTCTGGCAGCATGCAGCTGGCACAGTTAATGCAGACGTCAAGGCTATCATAGAATGACAGAATGGTTTGTGTAGGAAAGAACCTTAAAGCTCATCCCATACCACACCCTTCCACAGGCAGGGACAACTTCCACTATCCCAGATTGCTCTAAGCCCTGTCTAACCTGGCCTGGAACACTTTCAAGGAGTGTTCCAGGGTATTCCCAGGTGCTGGATTTGGGACAGCACTGGTCTCAATCACTCACAGTAACCTCCTGCCCAGAACCTCCTGGTGGCCTGCAGCTCATGAAGGGATCAGTGGGTACTGAGAAGGAAGAGCCATGTGTGAGAAGATTCCTGCCTGTAACAGCCATCGTTCACTGAATGGGACTGAAGTGCCAAGCTGTATGGAACAGCAAGTGTCCTGAAATGCTTCTGCTCTCCAGAGCAGGGATCCACCCTGACCCGGGTCTGCAGGGGTCCTTTGGTCACAGAGGGGAAGGAGAGTCTTTGGTCACTGGCCCAGCTGGCCAGGAGGGCTTTGAACTTAGGGGCACCACAGAGACATGGTGGGAGAGCTGCTGTGCCTCAGGTGTTGGAATGGGAGGATCCAGACCCTTAATGAAGGATTGGGGCAAGGAGGTGAGGGTCACCCCTGTGTCAGGCCCAGCTGGATGCAGGGAGCTGCACCTGAGAGCTCTGAGGAGCTGACCAGAGCTCACAGGACTGCAGAGACAGGTGACATTCCTGACCAGGGACAGGTGACATCCTGAGGGGATGAGGTCTCCACAGACAGATGGGAGCAGCCTCACATTCACAAGCCTTGGTCCTTGGGGCTGGTGGGGGGGGGAAATTCAACCACCCCAGTATCTGTAGGAAGGCAGTCCATGAGCTTCAAGTGCAAATGGGTTCCTGGGAAGTCCCTCTGAAACCTTTGGATGCAGAAGAGACCCTCAAGCAGAGAAATCCATGAAGGTCTGTCAGCCGAAAGGCTCAGTCTGCTGAGCTGTGCCAGTGTCCCACCCTCTCCTACACTGCAGGCCTCTGGCAGGGGGAAGCCATTCCTCCTTGTCCTGTCACTCCAGGCCCAGGTGAAAAGTTCCTCCCAGCTCTCCTAGAGCCCCTTTAGGCTCCCCAGAGCTTCTCTTCTGTAGGCTGAACACTCCCAGCCTGGGCAGCCCCTTCAGAGAAGGCTGGGGTTTGGCAGCAGGTGGCTGATCCTCAGACAAGACACCCAGGTAAAAAAGCAACACAAGGGCACATGAAGATAAAAACCCAGCCTGGGTGGGTGGGGGAGATCCCCTGGCTCAGAGAGAAGCCAGTCCTTTTAGACCCTCTAGGCCAAAGAACCCCCAAACATGCAGGTTTAGCGAACCCCATGCAGCACACTAGGCTTTAAAAACTTGGGCTTTAAAAACATTTGGGTTGTGCCCTGGGAAAAGCTCTGCTGAAAACAGGAGGGGCAGGAAGGGGCTGTGTCACCCCATAGGAAAAGGGCAGGAAGGGGCTGTGTTACATGAGAAAAGGGCAGGAAGGAGCTGTGTTACCCAGTAGGAAAAGGGCAGGAAGGGGCTGTGTTACCCTGCAAGACAAGGGCAGGAAGGAGCTGTTACCCAGTAGGAAAAGGGCAGGAAAGAACTGTGTTACCCCACAGGAAAGGACAGGAGGTGCTGCCACAGGACCCAGCAGCCAGGACTTGTACCTGGGTCAGTATCTTGCAAATGAGGAGGAGTGAGGAAGGCTGTATCAGAAGAGGCTTCTGATGCCACCAAGCTGTAGCAGGGAGTCAAATGAAGCTCAATTATAACAAAGTGGCTCATGAGCCATACAGCTGAGGGGCAAAATGACATGGAAGGGCAATTTACTGCAGATAGGAATAGATTCAAGAAAGAAAGAACTCTAAAATCAAAGCCTCTGTCTCAGAAAGTGCAAACCCACTGATTGCTGCAGCCTGGAGTAATTCTGGAAGGAACTACTTTGTGCATTTCTTCTTTTGTGTCCTTTTCTGGCACTCTCAGTGGCTCCCATCACACCCCAGCTCAGCCAGAACCTTGTGCTGATTCACTAAGTTCATTTTTACACTACTGGATGACATTTAAGCTCAATAAAAGGAATAGAATCCTGATTGCATAAAATAAATGCCCCATCCTTGAATGAGATGATGGCTCTGTAAGCACTGGCAGAGATCTCTGTGTGCACTGGCAGCTTCCCAGCAATGCCATTTCAATTCGAGGTTTAGGTACTAAAAAAGGTGGGAGGGAGAACAAAATTCAGAATATTCACAATTCACAAACTGCAGGCAGTCCTGGTCCCCTCCTCCACCTTAGACACTGATGAAATAAAAAAGGTCCAGACAAGTGTGGGAATTATTCCCACTAAGAGAAACCAGGATTTGCCAGCCTGGAAAGAAGGGAAGTGCTACTTCGTTGGCTGATGTGGCTGGCACAAACAGACCAGTGAGACAGAGTCACTCACTGCACCCCAGAAGGCCCAAGGGAGTTATCAAGAAACAATCAGAGCAGATAAAATGACTCATTGTGGAACCTGAGATCACAACACTCCATGGAAGATTAAAAAAATCTGGGCAGTTTTACAGAGGCATATTCCATTGCTGATGCAGACACAACACCTGGTTCAAGACATGCCCACACAATAGGTGAGCCCAGAAAATTGTGAG